CCTTGCAATTGGAACCCAGAGACGATTCACGGTCACGTTCTGGAGCAAAAAAAAAAAAAAAACGAAAAAGGGAATGTATGCCAGGAAGAGAAGCTCACCTATGCATGTAGCAATGATGACAGATAACAGATGGACGAAACAGATAGCTGCGTGGTATTCGCAATTTATTAAAAAAACACCAGAAAAACCACTGACAAGCAGGGCCAGGCTATTAACTCGAATTTATAGAGTGGTATTGATTTGGGCAGTAAGAAACCGTAGTCAATAATGTCAATAATAAGGAGATTGTAGCAACCAGGTTGACCTTGAAAGCCAAAATGGCAAAGGCGCAAATAGATTACAGTTTGAGAGGAGGTAAGAGTGAGATAAGACATTTCGGTCCATTAAGTCATATACGCCCTAAATCGATATCGCAACAGGACCTCGTCAGAATGACGGTCGCCATGCTTAATAGAAAAGAGAAATACTACAGGAAAAAGCAGACGATATGACAGTGGGATTAGATGGAACAAGAGTGGGGTGAAGGAAGGAGGAAGAAAAAGATTTTCAAAAAAAATTGTTCTAAAAAGTTTTAATGAAATTCTTAAAAAATTTCTCTGTTCTAATAATAAATTTCTCAATTCTAATTTTTCTCCTAAAAATCATCAACAGCAAATGAGGAGAAGCAGAGAAAAGAAGAATTTGGGAGGTAATACACGAAATACAGAAATAAATCTGAATTAGTTATGCAAAGTACCGATATGCCCCCGGTTATGGCGCACATATGTGCCACCAGGGAAAAGCTGGTAACTGGTGAAAGTGGAGTATTAGTGAGTCAATTTACCCGCAAAAAACCACCACTTGGATAGCTGCCAAAAAGATGGCACATACAAATGCGTACACCGAAGAGATGACTGATGTTAACCACATATATATAGCTTTGGGTCAAAGGAATCCACGTAACTGCGCTGAGAAATAGAAATCAGAACGGGGTACCAAAAATTAAAAAAAAAAACATGCCAAAAAAAGTTAAACTCAATATTTTGCAAACAAAAAAATATGATAAAAAATGCTGCAAATTAGGAGACGAAAAAATCAAAATCAAAAAAAAAAAATCAAAAAAAAAACCATACTTAAAATCTCACAAATAAAAAAAAATTAATTCTCTTATGGCAGAAAAAAAATTATGCAAATTACGAGCAGGGAAAAAATTCTTTTAAAAAACTAACTTTTTTCTCATCCTCGGCTGCATCCACCAATTTACGATCCAGAAGATCCACTTTCGTATCAACATATTTCAAAAAATTATCAATTTCCTAAAAAAATGACTGACTTTCGGTGCTGGCAAACAAAAAGTTACCTCTTTTTAGGAGCAAGAAATATAAAAGCAGATTTCGAAATTGCGAGATTTTTACTCACCTCGAATACCATCTTAAAAACTGTACATAAAATTAGCGTAAGACTAATCA